CACTACAGCACTTGGGCAAGCAGGTGTTCGTTGAGTGATAAACGCGTCTCTCAGTACATTAAATACCAGTTACCGTAGTTACTTGGTATTTGATCAGCCACAAAAGATGAGCACATTCGCGAATCGGAGAGAGAGTGGCGCTTTGTTCGCGGATCATTATGGAGCATATCTCACCGTCAATTGGCCCAGACTGCATTATCTGCGTTTACCATTCTCAGCAACTTGGACATCCACCACACACGACAGCCTAAGTATGGATGGTTCTCCCTAGTTGCTAAGAAAGAAGATGACCGCAGTCAAGTAAGTTTAATCCAGCAGTCGTTCGCATACTCAGGAGATGCGCGATGGAATGACGCCACAGTGTAACTCCGAATGGTCAGCAAATTGAATCATCCCTCATGTCTTGCCTGGGAGTTTCCCACAGAGCACCCTCGGATCCCGATCAGACCGCATCCCTGAAAAGGTGACGATAAGCGTTTGTGACAGCACTCGATCCGAGTTCACCGTGCGGAGCAGATCAGGTACCAATAAAATCCCAAATTTTGGGCCTCTTCACTTAGCACATCAAGTTACCCGGGACAGTGCATTACTAGTCGAATCTACATTCTAGCAGGCCTCACCGCACTCGTTTTCAATAAATGGTCGGTCATCGCGAATTATCTGATGACAGGCTTTTAGGATGCCTACACAGGAGGCCATGGAAGAATGCAGGTTTCAGTCGACCGTAAAGACCAAATTATCTTTCGCAATCGAAATCATCTAGGACCCATAAAACAACCGCATGCCCACGCGACCTTTGGAGCAATTGCAATGTGCTTATAATGCTATTCCCGCAGCGAAGATCTCACGGCAAGCCGATCTTCACTAGCGCAAGCACATCAGAAGAAAAGAAGACTTAATCCGGAAGTAGGCGGGAAAATATCCAAAGTGTACTGATCTACTGTGGGGGGGTCTGGTCTATCTTCTCATAAAGTGCTTCGTTGGGTGGCTGACCATTCAAGACTTACCGAGCGGTGTCGATCAGCCCATTCCAGGTAAAAAACAATTATCTACTATATGGAAAGTCTGCCATCCATACAGCTGAAGCACATAAAATTGCTGGCGGCGGAGATCTTATACTCCGATAGTAGATTCTATGATGCTTTCGCTGTCACTGTTTGTTTTTCTCCATGAGAAGGTAAGCGCCAGAGATCAATGATAATAGTCTCTTTCCAGCTTATTGATGCCAAACCTCATGACAAATTCGTATATTGAGGGCTAAGTAAGTATATATTTTGAGGGTTCCATGGAACTTCTGACATAAAGCGATAATAGCTTTAAGTGATACACGAGTCAGTGCTAAGAGAGAATGTCCTACAGTCTTTCCTTCAAGAGCTGGCTGCAGGTGGTTTGGGTGATATTTTAAAGTCCTGTGTTCAAAATATGCAAGGATTGCAGTTACCAACACCCGCCTGATCTACATGGGATCATGATGTCGCACAGTGAACGCAGTCAGATCCTCAATTGCAGAAGTACATAGATCGTGACGAAATGTAGTAGTAGTACCAGTTAAAGTAGTAGCTGGGCCGAGCGCACGACAAACTTCCGAGTTAAGGTTACAAGGTTTCCTCGTTCAATGAGCGTTTTCGTTATATGCTATGTTGCATCATCTATATTCTTATAAATAAGTATTATGCATGCGCACTATCATGATTGGAACGTGGACTTCGGATCACCGCTGAATGGCTGGCTGATTATACACAACAGGAGGTTTCGGCTAGTCACAAGCCTACAGTAGAATGCAGAAAACCAAATCAGTGTACGTCCAGCCCAAGGATCTTGAATTGAGGCTGGGGTTCAGTTATACAAGAATGCTTTAGGCAAATAACCACAGTCCCAAGGAAGGTCGCAGCTAGGACAAGACGTCCGTTTATATCATCTGCAACAACTGACATTCTAATTATGGCAGGACATGAGAGATCTGCGGGCGACAAATAATTGCACAGGAGTCCGTCCCTTCCCTATCAAACAAATATACCGATGGCCGTTGTGGAAAAAAGCTTGGTTGGTCGCTGCTCCATGTGGATAGCGAACTCCGCCAATGGGTGTGTTTCGGATTGAAGACCTCAACGGTGCAGCTAGGATCAGGATCAGAGTCCCACCCATCTACCAGTAACAGACTACTACCACCACTGAGCGTCCAGACTTCCCAAAGCTGATGGAAATCAGTAAGGGATTGCACTCCTAGACCAAGTCGGGCGCTTCAAGAAGCAATAGCGGTCCCTGCATGGAGCGCGTGGACCCTCAGGGTCTTGGGTCCTATCGAAAGGAGCGTTTGCGGCCACAAATGTGTTTTCAATTCACGGACTAGCAGACAATCCAGACCAACTCCATTCAGCAGAAACTGGGCGGCACCCAATCAATACAGGGCTGTTGCTTACTAGCCTACAGGGAGGTATTAATCAAAGCTGAGAAGGTGAACGAGTCAATCATGGGAAGCTTGACTTGACTTCGTAAGGGCATTGCCAAGACCGGATTCGATGCGGCCCTCCCTGCAATTAAATCGGCGGTCTCAATCTAATTGTCGGATGGGCCCCGGCCCCAGTTATCACCACTATGTATGTGACGGGATGGCACCATCTCTATTGGGTGGCAGGTGGCATTATTGCGCCCCTCCATTTTGAGAATCAGGCTTGTCGCTCTTTTCTTCTTTTTTTCCCCCCGCCACATTTCATCATGCAGAGCATGGAAAAACTCCCATAATAGAAGTGCAGTACTGTTAAAAGCCACTGAGGGAGGTGAGCAAGAGTTCAAAAGGGACTAGTGCGCACGTGGTTGATCGCTGACTACTGCAGTACCACCTGACTAATTAGTTATCTACAACCATCTAACTAGTACTTTGTAACAACAGTTGGACGACATTACTTCAGCCCGGCTTCATACTTCATCTCTCTATCAATTCTAAAATCGAACAGATTCTTCTATCTCCAACGATTGACATAACCTAAACAAGCCACTTCCGGCGGAACTGGCAAAAATGGCATTTCTTGGCAGGGCGGAGTTGGAGCCAGAATAGCTCCAGAGTGAAACTCGCCATGTCGCAGACTGCCGCCGGACGGCCAGAGGGCCTCCGGCATTCGGTCCACTCTTCTGCTCCGGTATGTAGCTAAATTCGCTGGGCCCTTTTCGACGCCTCTCCGTCTCCCCTATTTGGACAACGCTAATGCCCAAGTAGTAACTGGCTCCTGCAAGGGTGTCTCGACCTCCGACTCTGGAACCTACCGGCGTGTTTGTGGTCTGTGGTCTAGTGCCTGCTTTTCATCAATCTCAGACTCTCCGTCTGCGATGACCCTATCCCAATCAATTCCGCGTCTCAGTCGGCCCTGTAGTCAGTGGGAACTTGACAGCTGCCAAGAAATCCAATTGCAGCATGGCTATCGGGGAGTGAACCTTTCATTTATCCTGGTTCGAAACCGTTCGGTCTGAGCTTTGGGCGGAGACTTGATAGAACTACGACCATGGCTAACATTATATAAAGGCGCTGGATTCACGTCTTGCTTCGACCTTTCTTCCTTTCCTCCTCATCAGCTTCTCATTCATTTCTCTTCCCGGGGTCTTAGAACCATCCATTCTCTTGCTTTCCTTTCCTGGCTTCATTGATTGAAGACCATTTGCTTCGTCACTCTTTCTTTCCCAACCGATCCCTCTTACCCACGATCACGCTGTGCGTCGATTAACTCAAAGCCTGCAAAATGTCTGTCGCTAAGATTGCTGGTGTTGTCCTCGGTTCGGCCGCCCTTGTTGCTGGCCACGGTTATGTGTCTGGTGCTGTCGTTGACGGCCAGTACTACGGAGGATACATCGTCTCCTCCTACGCCTATGAGAGTGACCCTCCGGAGACCATTGCCTGGTCTACCGAAGCCACTGACCTTGGCTTCGTCGACGGTTCTGAATACGCCGAGGCTGACATCATCTGCCACAAGAGCGCTAAGCCTGGTGCTATCTCCGCTGACGTCAAGGCTGGTGGTACTGTCGAGCTTCAGTGGACTGACTGGCCCTCCAGCCACCACGGTCCCGTCCTGACTTACCTTGCCAACTGCAACGGTGACTGCTCCGATGTCACCAAGACTGACCTTGAGTTCTTCAAGATCGACGAGAGCGGCCTTATCAGCGACACTGAAGTCCCTGGAACCTGGGCCACCGACAACTTGATCTCCAACAACAACAGCTGGACTGTGACCATCCCCTCGACCCTCGAGTCTGGTAACTACGTCCTGCGTCACGAGATCATTGCCCTGCACTCCGCTGGAAACAAGGATGGCGCCCAGAACTACCCTCAGTGCCTCAACCTGAAGGTTACCGGTAGCGGTAGCTCCACCTACTCGGGCACCAAGGGTGAAGCCCTCTACAAGGACACCGACCCGGGTATCCTGGTCAACATCTACCAGAGCCTGAGCTCCTATGACATCCCCGGCCCTGCTATGTACAACGCCACTTCCTCCGGCAGCTCCTCCAGTGCCTCTTCTACCAGCTCCGCTGCCGCTGCCGCTGCTACTACTTCCAGCGCTTCCAGCTCCACCACCAGCGCTGCTGCTGCGACTAGCTCCGCCGTAAGCGCCACCACCACCACTGCCGCTGCTGCTGCCGTTGTCACCGACGTTGAAACCACCGTCCAGACTGCGGTCGCCACTGCTTACCAGACTTCGACTGACGTTGTGCAGGTCACTGTCACTGGCAGCGCCCCCCAGCAAACCCACATCCAGGTTGCCAGCTCCAGCGCCGCCGCTGTTGCCACCCCCAGCAGCTCCAGCGTCGCCGTCTCCAGCGACAACCTCACTAGCTACTTCAGCTCTCTGAGCGCTGACCAGTTCCTCAGTGTCCTGAAGGAGACCTTCTCCTGGCTGGTCACCGAGAAGAAGCACGCCCGTGACCTCAACGCCTAAACGCCCAGCCAGACGTGGAAGTTCGGATCATATAGACATTCCTTCTTGTTTCTATCTGACGGCTACACGAGCCCTTTTAGCCGTCTGATGCTCTTTTCGCTTCGGATCGGGTATCCACTTATGTACCTATAAAATATCAATATTGAAGCTGTGACTTTCAATTGTAACGTCCTCTTTTGTATAATACTGCATTGTTTGTATCTACTGTCGAGATAGAATCGACTTCTAGTAGTCGTTGATAAGTGACTGGTAATCGTTGAGGGTCATGAGGAAGGCAACAATGGCCTGCAAAGCATGGCCCACAAGATTCTTGTCGATGTTCTTTCCAGCCTGTCTTGATCTTATTCTCTCTATTGATCATGGTAATACCCCGTGACCGATTCTTGCCCGGAATGGAAGGCACTGCTATAGATTAATGCCGGCCTGGCTTCTCATGGACTACTTACTACCTCTCCTCACCTTCAGATTTCTCTCTCATATTGTATTGTCGAAGTCAGAGCGCTGCTAATAAAATTCTTTCCCCATCTCCCCAAGCCATCATGTCGCCCTCCCAGGTCACACCTCGGCAGCCAGATGACATTCCCCCCAATGAGAAGAGTCAGTATCGGATGATCAAGGAAGCTGGATTCAACGGCATGCATGATTTCATGTTATCTTATGGTTTGAAACCGTACAATTTCGAGGACTACGATGAAGCGAAGGAGATTTTAGACACCATGAGACGGTATGACCAGGAGTATTGGGACGCCGAGCAGCAGGAAATGTCTCAAGAGCAGTACGAGGATCAGGAAGAAGAAGATTGCGAGCTCCAGCCGGAGTATTGCGAGTACAGGGGACCAGAGCCGGATGAGCAAGAATATGTGGGTTGGGATGAAGGACCAATTCCATTCTATCACGACCAGTATGAAGGTTATGAGGGAGGCCAGAGCCACTACGACTTCGAGGACTGCGAGGCAGACATGAGTGAGCCGCTCCAGGAGTGCTATGACCATCCAGACTGTGAAATGGATGATGGGTTCTGTGATGGCTATTATGATTGAGTTGAGGACTGGTGAGTAGACTCCCAATTTGTGCGTTTTGCTCTACCTGGGTGCCTGCGAAGTATACAATAGGCTGAACGGTTCAGTGGGACTCTCTGGAAGGTACTACTGCTATCCTCTTACATGATACTGGGCAGGAGAACAAATTGTGCGTTTGGTGAAGGTTGAGGGAGTATTGAAGTTCTAAGGATTTCCATGCTTTGATTGCTGGTAATGATGTTATTCGGTGATGTATGCGTAGAATGTGTTGAAACCTCGGGAAGCGGGGACCACGCGGGCGATTGTTGTTGCGGTAGTCAAATCCATTCGTTCGTCCCCTCAGCAGCTCTCCGAATAGCGCCTTCTTCCCTTTATCCACTCCCCGGATACTCCATTTCTGTTGGCGTGGGCTGCATGGCTTAGATCGTCATTTAATACTCGTCTACTAAACCACTGCACCCTCGTTCCTCCATCATGTTCAAGAAAAAGCCCACGGTACGTTACCCCTCCCCCGCACCACTCTGAGATCGGTTACAACACAGCAAAGTCAATCGTGCCTTTTTGAGCGCATCGCTCACAACAGACAATCGCAGATTAAAAATCTCTCTCCCCTGCGGTCGTCCGACCGTCGAAAGATTGCCGATCAGATTATCAGCGATTACAAGATCGAGGTTCCACAAAGTGCACCGGTTGAAACCAGCGGCGACGACTCAGCTCCAGGCGCATCCAACCCAACGGCGCCAAACCTTACCTCCATTCGAAATGCTCTACTCCCCGAGAACTGTTTGACCGCACGCTTTACTACGACCGCCGGACCTCAGCTCCGCGAAGTACAAGGGACGGTGTATGTTGGAACACATCCCGGGGCCGATGAACGGGTTCTGTGGTTCAGAGTCGACCACGGCCCCGGCGCCGATGGACGCCTCTACCCTACGGTATATACACTTTGGCACAACCCAGATCTGGTGCCACTGCTTCATACCCCGCAAATGGTCATGCAGAAACTGCACGGAGGAGCTGACCTGATGACTCCGGGTCTGGCCAATGACCCGCCTTTCGACGAGCGTGCCGTTAAGGGTGCAGTGGTTGCTGTTGCAAGCCTTAATAGGCATACGGTACCGCTGTTTGTGGGCGTGTGCGAAATCGACATCTCTGCGCTTGGTGAGGTTCAGGGCACGAAGGGACATGCCGTTCGAGGTCTGCACTGGGAAGGTGATGAGTTGTGGGCATGGAGCTCGTCTTCCAAGCCGGGTCAGCCCGCTCCAGAGTATCTGGAGGGTTGGGATGATGAACTGGAAGAGGACGAAGATGTAGGAGAGATCGAAGATGTAGGAGAGATCGAAGAGGGCGTGCAGAGCCTAGCAGTAGGTGGTGAAGAGGCCACTCACGGAGCTGGAGGCGAGGAAGCATCGGTCGAAGCGCATGATGCCCCGCAGGAGGAGGTTCCTGAGGTTGAAGAAAAAGAGCCCACAACTAAAGGTGAGTCTCACTCAATACACCATGAGTGTGGTTATCCTAACCATTTGAAGAAATCGATGAGGCTTTCGGAAAAGCCTTCCTCTACTCCCTCTACAAGCTCAAGCAAGATAACCCGTCCGCTACCAACCACGGTCTTTCTCTACCCGTTCAACCATCTGCTCTGATATCGAATATGATCACACCCCACCTGCCCATATACACCGCAAAACAAGCCCAATACTACCAAATCAAGAAGACCAGCTGGAAGAACGTGAAAAAGTTCATCAAATACCTGGACAAGCAGCGCTTGGTCAAGTCCAAAGACCGCAACGGCCAAGAGACCGTCATACTTGATGTGGACTTCAATGACCGTCGCGTTCTAGAATTCGTCCCTTACAGACTCCCATCCAAGAACGCCGTCGAGAACGCAGGAAAGCCTGCCACTCCAGCAAACAACGCCAAGTCCGCATCTACAGACAGCGGCGACCCCTCAGTCGGCCAAACCCTGACGGTGCAGACTCTCTATCGCCCAACCAACAAACTCACTCCAACCATCTTCCCCGCCCTATCCAGCACCCACCCCAGCAACTACTACAAATACACCGACATCTCCACCCACCTCGACCAATACATCCAATCTCAGAATCCCCCGCTCGTCGACCCCAAAAACAAACGCATCATCACCCTCAACCCCTACCTCGCCAACACCATCTTCACCTCCTCCTCTGCCGATGACAAGAGCACTCTCGCCCGCGGCAAAACCACCCGTGACGGCCTCCTCAAGCGCCTCATCGACGACCACTCCCTCATGACAGCCCACTACGTCATCCTACGCCCTGGCCAAACCCTCTCCGAGGTGAAGCCTAAAGCAGGCGCCGCCCCCAAGGTCAATGTGATCCTTGAACGCCGCACCGGTTCCAAGACCGTCACTAAGGTCTGGAACCTCGAAGTGTTCGGCATCATCCCTAGTCTCTTGGCCGAAGAACTGCAGAAGAAATGCGCTAGCAGCACCAGCGTAACGCAGGCTACTGGCGCGCCCAAGGGCGTCATGGAGGTGCTCGTCCAGGGAGACCAGCGACGCGCATTGGAGACGGCGTTGGTGAGACGTGGGTTGAGGACGCAGTGGATTGATGTTGTGGATAAGACGAAGAAGAAGAAATGAGTGGTTGGGGTAGAATATCGGATGAGAGGTGGTTTTGCATATGATGATACCGTTATATACGTGCTGTAGTCGATAAAATATATGTGCAGCCCTGGTTGTTGCAGTCAACACTTTTAGTCCTTGGAAGAAATGGATTCCTGGGTAATAGTACTACATTACTACTTAGCGTGCTACTGCTATGCATTGGAAGTTCCATGCTATCACCAGTCGCAATCTTGGTTGATGAATATTCCACGATAGTACGCCCACTTACCAAAGGAAGGAAATTAAACGGTAAAGATGAATTCCAGAACATCCTATTCCGTGAGTCTAGAACGTAAAATCCACCGAAGCAAGGATATCGGTAAATAATAATGAAAAGAGAAATAAAAAGAAAAAAAAATAATAATGAAATTATACAACGCCATTATGGTACTATGGTCTTCAAAGTCCGGGGGTAGTAATTCGAGCCAAAGTCATGCTTTTTGTATCCCATAACCCTTATTCCCATTTTTCTTTCGAAGCAACGAAGAAAAATATAAGCAAGTGGTGTCCTTGATGATAGACAGCCAGCTTTAAATTGCAACTTTTCTCTCCTTTTTTTTGATCTAGATGACGTTATTTCGTTTACTCCTTGGCGTCCACCTTCTTGGCAGGGTGGTCGCCGTTCGCCTCGTCTTCGGCGGCACGCTTCTGGCCGGACTCGGCGGTGCTCTGGACAATGGGGACGCCGCTGGATGGGTTTGTTAGTATACATGCTCTTGCTTTTGTGTAATGGGGTGGTGATAGGGGGAAAGAAAAAAAAAGTAAATACATACCGAGCATCCTTCTGGACCTCACTGCGCTCCTCCTTGGGCTCACTCTTCTTGTCGTTGAAGCCGTTCTTCTGGTCAGCCGCGCGGCGCTCCCTCCAGTCGCGGTTGTCACGGCCACGGTTTCCACCACGGCCACGGCCGCGACCGCGCTGGAAGCCACCGCGTCCGCGGGAGCCGCTGGGCTTCACGCGGCCAGCCTCAATGTCGCGCACCTTCTCGTCGCAGTAGTCCTTCTTGCTCTTGATGAGCAGGTCCTGTCCCTTCCACTGGGGCTTGGGGTCCAGGGCCAGGAAAGCCTTCTGCTTCTCCTCCGACTCGAACTCAACGAACACACTGCCCTTGAAGGTCTTGTCGTAGGCACGACGCAGACGGATGGCGTTGACGGGTCCGTAGGGGGCAAAGAAGGCCTCAATGTCAAGCTGAGTGGTCGGCTCCTCGTCGCCGAAACCCTTGGCGTAGATGCTACGGCTCATGGCCTGGTCCTCGAACACCTTGACCACGTTGTGGTCGTGAGTCTGCGACACGGTCTCCGGAAGGGGAGTCTTCCGGCGCACGGAGGTATCGTTATCGGTCAACTCAAGCGTCTCGGACGACTTGAGGGCCTCGACGACGGCGCTGAAGGGCTGGAAGCGGCGCATGCGCTTGAAGGAGTGCAGAAGTTCCAGAGGAACGGAACGGTTGGCGCTGCCGCCGACCTTGGAGAACAGGAACTTGTCCATGGGCAGGTTGGAGTCAGAGAAGTAGAACTCAACCTGCTTGCGGATCTCGACCGGGTCATCCGTCACCTGCTGCGTGGAGGGGTCAAACTTGGCGTTGTTGCGGCGGTTGAAGCGGCCCTCGCGACCCCGGTTGTCGTTGCGAGATTCCTGTGTCGTCTTCTGCTCTTCGGCCTTCTCAGACTTCTCGCCCAGCTTAGCGGCGGCCTCGACAATGCGGGCTTCCTCGGCATCTTCGGTCTCCTTCTTTTCGGCACCGTTGGCGGGGACTTCGTTCTCGCCCTTCAGCTCGGCGAGGACGTTCTGGACATCCTTCTCAGCCTCAGCGTTGGGCTGGGCGACAGGCTTTTGCTCTTCGGACATGGTCACGAGCTGTGTGGTAGGAGTTTAAGGGGGTATAGGGGAGATTGTTGTATGGGGTCTATACTAGAGTGGGAAGATATCAGTCAGTGATTCCTACATATCATCAAAAGCAGAGAGGCACAGGCGATAAGTTCAGGATGAGGGTAGGGTGCAATCCCGCGTCAGAACCATGATACGGACCGATTTGGCCAATGATGGACGGAGAACCGCGCGACGGCGATGCGGAGAATTGGAGGAAGCAAGCAGGGCACTCGTATCTTACCTAGAATGCGCGTGCGCAAGATAGAAATATAAGCGGAAAAGAGGGATTGACCGGGAAAAGACACCTGCAAGTAATTTAAAGACGAGCTCCAGATGCGAGAGAGAAAATGGCCAGGCCAATTAATGCGCGGCGGGGGAAATTTTCTGAGCGCCGCAGCGGAGCAACTGTCTTGCTCGCCTCAGGCAGCCAGGCAGCGGTGTTTGTGTGGCGCAAACAGCTGACTTGGCCGCTTTAGGAAAGTAGCCGGATTGGCCTCTTCAACAACGGTATATTGACACTTCATGATATGTATCCTTCACAGATTCTGCAAAGCAGGATTAGGTTTTCTTGAGGTAAAAGTGAAGCTGGATTGAAACGGGTGTCTGGATTCTTGTGTTACCAACTAGGTATATTTTTGGAAAGTCACAGAACGTGTGACATGCTGCTAGAACGGATGACAACTACCACAGTAGGTACCAATCAGACATGCATCTGCTAGTTGTTGCCTGGCCGGTTTCCAAGCGCGGGCGGTCAATATGATCTTCCCCTCAGAGGAGATATTGAATATCTCTCAGGCAGTAGACGGGCTTCAATAGCACCCTGTCTACTCTAGACCGTTTCAACTGAAAGTTGTCACTATTCTACTCCATCGCATACTACCGTCATGCCTCCCAGAGCAATATACCTCGTAACATCCCGAAATACACGTTGTGGGCGCGCCTATGATGGGCTATCAGCTCGAATTCAAACGGAATCACGCCCTCTCCTCCAATGAAGAGCCGTATGAGACGGTCTTACTTGGACATGTCGACTCTCAACATATTGCGGACTCCTTAAAAGAGAGTAGTAGTATGTATGTAGACCATACTCCGAGGAGTGATCTTGAAATCGCAGCCAGTCAGATACCGGCCCCTCGTGTTAGTGAGAATTTCATGGCACCTGTGAATGATGTGAGTAAATCTCGAGTGCCTCACTGCCTGTGCTCCAGCCTGACGTATACAGACTACCAACAAGAGATGTCAAGAGTGGACTATGGAATTTGTTCGTCATCTGGTTGCTCGGGGTCTACTTGAGGAAGAAGCCGTTCAGATTGTCCAGTCGAAACGCGATTCGCCAGCCCATGGAATCGCTTTGCAGCCTGCTGGTCGACGAGTAGTTTGAGGGGCTATCCAAATTCATGCAGGTAGCAAGTGCCAAAGGATATATGACTTGAAAACTTTTGGTTCCTAGCTGGCACTAAGAAGAGTCAATCAATTTGGATGCAATCAGCGAAAGATCAAGCCAAAGTACTTCTGGGCGCAGGATAACAAAGCAGGTTTCCGGCACTTCCCCAGAAGGGATGTGTAGAACTGCACTTTGGGCTAAGAGCACCTGCCTTTTCCGTTTGGTTTCAGCCCCGTTGGTGCCTTTTAAGCTGTCTGAATCAAAACCCTTCTCATAGTTATACTCCAGCCTAAGCCTTCCTTCGGTACCATGTCCTCAACATAGTTCCTTGGAGTTAGGCGGGCTTCATGGGATATACTTCGGACTACCACATTGCATCATATCACAAGAGTTGTGCCATCGTCTCGCTCTCATTAGCCCATTGTCCGAGCCAATATGTCACACATTATTTGAGGTATTTCGGAATGTGCGTTTGCTTCTATTCCCATAATATACCAAGAAAGAATCTAACAGGCGCAATCCTCATCAGAAAGGCATACTGATAGTCGCCGGAACTGAAGGCGACCGAGAAGAGAGCTCCCTTATTCGATCTACGTGCAACAGAGCCATTGCCTACCAAAGAATACGACTCGCTTCGAGCACTTTTTACGACCCTTTGACGGTGGCACACTTATAATAGTAGCTCTCGTAGAAACTTGCAGAGAAAACTGGTCAAGCCGAAAAGACACGCTAGCTCGTCTCATCATGGCTGAAGAACCATCATCCAAGTTGTTAGCCGCATGGCCTACTAGAGATGTAAGTCTGAAGCCTTTCCACCGGAAGACGAGTACCCTTACCATGGGCTTAGATCATTTACATTTCTATCTTGGGACCATTGTTGCTAGCAGCGCTACTGGAGTGGTTCCTCTTTCTTGCTGCGTTTATTTACTGCCTGATCAAGGTATATCAGAAGGCCGATCACTGGAGTATTCGAGTTCTCGCAGTCATCATGGCCCTCCTCATCACACTGTGCAGGTGAGCTTGTGTAAGTGCAATAATTCATGGATGAAAGTATTAAAACACACATGTAGGGGAATCTTTCTTCCAGTGATGATCGCTATACTTCCACTACCACCGCAGATCACGCAATTTTTCCCTCGCCAGCTCGTGTCGGTACTTCAATGGTTCGCTTTCTGGGCATTCTCTGCGCTTCTAATCATACCATGGCTATTTTGTGTCAATAGATTCGTGATCCACTCCTTAGGGCGAACCAAGAGGGTGAAGGAGGCTTTAGATGACCGCACCGCACCAAAAACCGTCATTGTCATGCCAGTATACAAAGAAGACCCCCTTGTTCTGATCAAGGCAATTGACTCGGTCGTTAATAGCGACTATCCCAGTTATTGCATTCATGTTTTCTTGTCCTATGATGGGTGCAACATCGATGAACCTTATCTCCATGTGATCAACCATTTGGGAATTCCGATTTCGCTGGAGAGTTATCCGCAAAGCATTGATGTGACATATCATGGGGCAAGGATCACTGTTTCAAGATTCAAGCACGGTGGCAAGCGTCATTGCCAGAAACAAACCTTCAGGTTGATCGACAAGGTATATGCCGACTATCTAAAGCATCATGACGACCTATTTTTGTTGTTCATCGATTCAGACTGCATTCTTGACAAATTATGCCTGCAGAACTTCATGTATGACATGGAACTGAAACCAGGGAGCCAGCATAATATGTTAGCGATGACAGGAATTATCACTTCAACCACAGAGAGAAATTCTCTGATAACTGTCCTACAGGACATGGAATACATTCACGGGCAGCTTGTTGAGCGTACCGTGGAGTCCGGTTGCGGCGCTGTTACCTGCCTTCCGGGAGCACTGACAATCCTACGATTTTCAGCTTTCCGCAAAATGGCGAGATACTACTTCGCGGACAAAGCTGAGCAATGTGAGGATCTCTTCGACTATGGCAAGTGTCACTTGGGAGAAGATCGCTGGTTAACGCACTTGTTCATGATCGGGGCAATTGAACGCTACCAAATTCAGATGTGCACGAGTGCTTTCTGCAAGACAGAGGCGGTTCAGACATTCTGTAGCCTGCTTAAACAACGACGTCGATGGTTTCTCGGCTACATAACCAACGAAGTGTGTATGCTGACCGACGTCAGACTGTGGAAACGCTACCCACTATTGTGTCTGGTGCGCTTCATGCAGAACACAATCCGGACGACTGCATTGCTATTCTTCATTTTGGTAATCTCACTCATAACAACTTCCAGCAAGATTAAGAACCTGCCTGTTGGCTTCATTGCAGTTTCGCTCGGTCTCAATTACATCCTTATGGTTTATTTTGGGATAAGGCTCAAACGCTTCAAAGCCTGGCTCTATCCCCTAATGTTCATCCTGAATCCGTTCTTCAATTGGCTTTACATAGTGTACGGCATCTTCACTGCAGGCCAGCGAACGTGGGGCGGGCCTCGAGCTGACGCAGCCAGAGCTGATGAGCATACTACACCAGAGGAAGCGGTTGAGAAGGCTAGGGTCCAGGGGGATGAGCTGAATGTTCAGGTAGACACCTTTCGAACGAAAACAGAAGAGAAAGGCGTTCCCATCCGGCCTTCATCCAAGGTCAATGGTCGCCTCTCGTTTGCGCCACAGCTTCTAGATCGATATTACGACTATCAAGGCGCTTTGGGGACCAGTCTCGCCAAATACCTGACCCCTCTTCCAGACGTGCCTCGCATCGGCCTCCACCCACATTGCTCATCTGACTCGGTTGCGACATCCGATTCTGGAGGCAATTCAATTTCCTTGCCCCAGAATGTGGAATCCTTGATGAGCGCCGGGGAGCGGGCCAGACTCTCCATTAGTCGCCAGGCGCAGGAAGACACCGGGCTTCTACACACACGGGGGGCAGACGGTGGAGAGCATGGCCTGTATGTGCAATCTAACGAGGACCCGGTAGAAAACCGGGCGTATGAATTGCATACCATTGAGTCAGAGAGCAATGTCCCAAGCGGAAAGCCCCAGGTATCGTCAAGTGTTCCACAATCAGTGATGCAGCAATCTAGAGCTGTTCCTGGGTCTCAGCCCCATGGGCACTTGCCACAGCCAAGATACACCAAGCGACCTAGTAGAATTCCGAGGCAGAAGAAGGGACATATGCAACCAGAACAAATGGTTTGAACCGGAAGGCAGTGCATAAGAATTCAAGCATCGGATTGAATTGGTAGTGAGCCTAAGGGTTGCCAAGGAACAGAGGCCGACTGACCAGAGTATTAGAGCCTGTTTTGAACACACATGCTACTACTAATGGACTAGTTACTTGACTCTCGTTCAGTAATGGTCTGTGATCCATCGTCTATTCACATCGTTTGTATTCAAATACTCTTTTCTCGCATTATTGAATAAGCCAAGTTACTATCCTCTGAGGTCATGGATGCGTATGGGGAATTCGTGCTCATTTAGTCTCGATAGTCAATAGAGTAAGACAAACGAAGGTTTATCCAATCGAATCGAATTCGCTACGGAGTATGACACATAACATTGGCATACAATGGTCAGATGATTCTCTGTAACGGAAGTCTGCAATTCAGTTAGACTGAGAGATACCGACGTGCCAGCTGGAGCAGTCGGGAATATCGAACGCTTGAAGAATCTATCTATAGAATGTCATACCAACCCTAGCAGTACTGTGGTTGATTGACTGGAAAGAGTGAGTGGCCAAACAGATATGCACATGATGAGTCATCACAAACGGGAGAAAAACTCTGAACTATCGATAAGCCCCGCCAAAGCGGTCAGGTAAGGGTTCTGCCGGCACTAATGGAGCGGTGAAAGGTGGGAGGCGTCGAGCAGCAGCCAGAAGGTTCGACGAGCGCCCAAAGAAGCCGGTGAAGCTGTGCTGCGATGCTGCTAAGCGCCAGGTTCCTTATTTATTCCTGTAATCCTCCGACCTGGGGGACACCTGCGTTTTATATATTTCTGCATTGATCTCCTCTAGTGTGTTAATTATACATTATTTTTTTATTTTTTTTTTCCGCCCAAGTGGAACCCATCGAATTGTGCTTACTGCTCTAGACAGATAATATCTGCCTGACAGATAGTAAGTAGTAGTGACTGACGAGCCAGCGGTGCCCACGTTGGAAAATCGACGCCTCACCGCCCGCGAGCTTCTAGTGGCGGGTCCTGCAGTTCTCGCCGTGCAAATTCTCCCCCTCCGTCTCGCTCTTTTCTCTGCCCTCTTTGGATCCTCCCCCAACCTCTCCCCCTCAGTCCCATTCTTCCACTTTTTTCCTCTTTCATCCTCACATCACTCTTCTACTTCTTCTTTTTTCCCCTCTCTCCTCTTTTCTTCCCCCCACTCTCTTCTCCCCCTCTCTACCTCTTCCTCATCTAGACAATGTCTGTCGTCGGTATAGATTTCGGTGCCCAGAGCACCAAGGTCGGTGTTGCCCGTAACAAGGGTATTGATATTGTGCGTCACTCTTTCCCCTCTGCCCAATTTTCTCTTTCCCCTCCGAGCGCTGCCCATCCGCTCGTCATTATCAGTCCCAAGTCATTACTAACTAGTCCATTGTGATGGTTTACAGATCACCAACGAAGTTTCCAACAGATCTACTCCGTGAGTTCGCCCATTCTTTGCTCATCATGAATTTTCATGTCGGCGCCATATCAGCTGCCCGTCCCAGTACATTATTAGTATACGAGCCGTGTACTGACTTAATTGTTCTCCCACACAGTTCCCTTGTTGGCTTCAATGCCCGCTGCAGAGCTCTCGGTGAGGCCGCTAAGACGCAAGAGACTTCCAACCTCAAGAACACGGTCGGCAACCTGAAGCGCCTGATCGGCCGCTCATTCAGCGACCCCGATGTTGCGATCGAGCAGGAGTACACCACGGCTCAGCTTTGCGATGTCAACGGCCAGGCCGGTGCCGAGGTCAGCTACCTCGGAAAGAAGGAGAAGTTCTCGGCTACTCAGCTGGTCGCCATGTACCTGACCAAGAT